TTGTCTCACAGTTCACATTCACTTAGTATGGCAACAAACAAGCCCATAATCCCTTTTTGATGACCACACCCAACATCATGAATTCAAGTATGAAAATAAGACAGAGCAAGTACAGTCCTGCAGACTGATGGTCAGAGGTTGACCTCTTCTTGTTCTAATCTTGTGGGTGTGTGGAAGATTTACTGTGTGGTCGGTGGGCAATAGTTTAGTTTAATATTATATTTCATATATTTTTTTGCCACAAGAGCATCTTCTTTGTGGTCTGTTAATGGAAAAACATGGATTAGCAGATGGATTACCGGAGGTAAAATCAGAAGGAGATGCAGTCTAGCCATTTGTCAGACTGGAGAAGTTGAACAGCTGAAAACATTCAATGGCATCAAACAATCTGCTACAGTCTACCTACAATGGTCTGACTAAACTGATGCCAGGAGCCAACATGCGGCTGTTGTGCTAACACAGCTGACAAATAGTGCTGGAGTTGTTACAAAATTGTCAAAGTCATGCACTATTTCCATCTTTTCCATGATTTATTTCCCTCTAAAAGTCAACCTGATGTTGAACTCAAATATCAGATTTTTATGGTGCTTAATCACAACAGGAAAGAGATAAATATCATCCATCCTTCCCAAAGGGCTGCTGGCTGGAATTGAACCCACAGCCGCTGTGGCAAGGACAATGCCTTTTTAAATTGGGACGCCCACTCTAATCACTGAGCTACTGGGTGCCAAAAAAAACACTTTAGCATCGTTAACTATGTTAGCACCACAAGCTGTGCTAAGGCTGCTAAAGATGCTAACAGAGCTGACATAGTTAACAATGCTGAAGAGGTTTTGTGCCTCAAAACTGAGCTGCTTAGGGTGCTTTCAGACCTAGAGTTGTCTTGCTTTGGTCTGAATCTGGGACTAATTTTGTTACAAAGTTGCATAATTGCCTAGAGTTGGTTCATGTTCTCACGGCAGCATTAACAAGCGGACCAGATCAAATGCCTTGTGTGAGAAAGCTGCTCTTGATTGGTCAGAATTTCCATGTGGAAAAAATCCAGGAAGTAAACCAAACAAAGAAGAAGAGTACACCTGCAAGATAAATGTGACACTTTCTAATGTCACAATGGAGGGACAACTACGTAGGTTGATTTTAGCGCTGCTCATCGTGGACTATATTACTGTCATTGTTCATTTTAGTCAAACCATACAGTTTGAAAACGAGGCACGGCTCCAACTAGAAAACAATGTTGTGATGCATTGGATGTGCTGAATGTGCATATTAAGGCAGTACAGGAGGAGGTGCACATTAATAATCCTCCAGGACTGTAACATGCTCATGTTTAACCCAAACAATGTGTCATGTGACTGCAGTTGGTTCAGATCCAGGTCGGAACACGTTCTCACCACAAACGAACCGCACCAGAGTTTGTTTGTAACCGGACTGAGACCACCTCTTCAAGAAGGTCTCGGTACAGTTGTTTTGGTGCACACCTGAGTGTGATTGCTGTGTTCACACCTGCCCAAATGAACTGCACTGAGGGGGCAAACGAACCTGAGTTAGATTGAACCGAACCAAACAGGGCAGGTGTGAAAGCACCCTTACTCACTGGGGTGACCTGGGGGGAGACCGGTGGGTAGGCACAATGTTCCAACAACAACGCTGTCCACTGCTACTAGCGGTAATCACCAAAGACATGGGTGGTGCACAGTGCAATGAACTGAAGAGAAGCAAAATAGACCTATGGACAGATGTGCAACAGTCAAAAATATTCTCTGTGTTTAACCGATTAACACTTGCCCACAACTGTGAACATGTCTTTGACTAAAAAAAAAAAAAAAAAAAACCTATTACTCAGTGTTGCGGCTGCAGTGCATTCTGGTTGACTGAAGCTGCCGTCACCTGAATTATTGGTGCTGTTAACTGTTTAAACGTGGATTTCTAATTGTGTAACTGTAAAGGGAAACATCGACTCTTTGATTAGTTAGTGATACCATATTTGACACTGCGTGCTGATGTTATAAATAGCACTGTGGCTGTGCCGAAAATATCTCAAAGTGATCTGATGCTGTCGACATTTGACCCATTATCCATTAATATTAAAAAACAGTCCTCAAGACAAAATAAAAACCATACATAATGCTGCCTTTTATCAGTTAGTGTTTCATAGTGATTTATTTTACTTTTGAAAGAAGTAATAAAATGTTCAAACATAACATATCTGCAAAAGCTTCACTGACAACCTCTGTTTCTTTTCTCTACAATATCCTCTTGCAATAAAATAACAACTAAAACATTATTAAAGATTTTTTTAGCTATGTTGAAGCACTTGAAGCTTTTAGAAAAGGTTTAGGAAAAGATCATGGTCTTGGTTTGATATTGTTAACTTCAACAGTGGCTTGAAGCACAAAACTAGACATGTTTATTTCATTAAACATTAAACTTCACAAACATTATTATAATTTAACCAAAATGATCTTTTCCCAAACACTAAAGTGCTTTTGTTGCCCGCACACCTGGGACTGTGGCAGAAACATCCTGTGCTGTTTATACCCACTATGCGCCCGGAGCACCTCTCTTAAATATTAAAAAAAATGTCTCTGAAAATTATCCTGGCAACAAATACATTTACTTCAAAATCTATTTGCAAATTAGTAGTATACAGACTAGGAATGTCAACTACTTTCAATTAATATTCTTGACCTTTTACGCATGTTGGTTTATAGTTTAATTTGCACAAACACACACTCTGCTAATGGCTTGACAGCAACCTGCTGCGGCCAGCAGCGCCATGATGCAACTTCTGGGATGTGCCAACCAAAACCCTGCACATCTCAGCCACTGAGATACTTGCCATACTTGCCCAATAGCCAAAGACAGACAGTCAGAAACACAGCCTCTGATTGGTCCAAAAGTCAAAAACACAGCCTTTGATTGATCCATTAAACAGAAACACAGCCTCTGATTGGTCCATTAGTCAGAAACACAGTCTCTGATTGGTCTATTAGTAAGAAACAGTCTCCGATTGGTTCATTAGTCAGAAACACAGCATCTGATTGGTCCACAGAAACACAGCCTCTGATTGGTCCAAAAGTCAAAAACACAGTCTCTGTTTGGTTCATTAGTCAGAAACACAGCGTCTGACTGGTCGACAGAAACACAGCCTCTGATTGGGCCACAAGTCAGAAACAGAGGCTGGTCGACAGAAACACAGCCTCTGATTGGGCCACAAGTCAGAAACAGAGCCTCTGATTGGTCCATTAGTCAGAAACACAGCTTTTGACATGTGATGTCAGATTTGTCATTATCGATTTATTTTACAAAGTCTCCAAAAAGACACTGTGGTTCAAGGCTGGATTACAACGTTTCTGAAAGGGACATGATCACATCGGAGCCGTCATTGGAGCAACACATGATCAACGTTAGCTTCTGAGCAAAAATAGCTCCACTTCAGTGAAACATTTACTTTTCCACTTGCCCGCTTGGACAACCGCTCAGTTTAAAAGTCAGTGTCGATGACTGGCAACTCGGCTAACAGCACAAACAAGCAGACAGACATAGATGCCAATAATGGTTGTGAGAAACTGTCTGTAGAAACACTCCAGAGAAACACTCAAGGTCTCAACTCCACACTCTGCCAGCTTTCTCTGGTCACAGATCCCCATCCTCCGAACAGCAGGATGTATTAAACAATGCAGCTGTCTGCCTTGATCCACTCCACAGTTTGTCTCTGCTGCGATTGCTCGCCTCCAAAGAAACCCTCCTCATTCATCTTTTTTCCTTTTTTCTTCCCTTGTTGTAACAAATGAGAATCAGATGTTTTGCAGAGGAAGGACGGACCCCCACCCATCCTGCTTCGCTGGGGAGGTGGGACAGCATCTGCGTAATGTGCACACACATTGACAGGAAGTTTAACATTCCACCCAACTTCCATCACTGGCCGGCAGCTGAGGCTGTTGCACAAAATCTGGCAACATCTCTTCATCACAGTAAACTAAGAACTGGGCTCGCTCCATAAAAGCTTATACTCGACTGTCATAAATAAGTAGCAGTTGACATTACCTATGGAAATTAATGCAGCAGGATTTATGTTATCACCTGCTCTTGGCTTGGCTCCGTACACTGTGAGGAATTTCTAAAGCTTGCCCATGAGGCTTAAAATTTAGGGCCTAGGCTTAAGAAGACATCCTCTGGTGCTGCCCTATAGCTGCCCCGTCAAAAAGCATGACTCGCCTAAACAAAGACAAGGCCCCTTTCACCCCGCAAATTCCTTGACAACTGCTGCAAGCTTCCTGCTGGCATTTGATATGCTCCATTTCGTTCCCATGACCAAAACTCCAGTCATGCTGAGGCTTTCTGTGAGCAGTTGAAGGCTCGTCTCACTGACGCTCTGAAGCTTTTCTGTACTGTGATGTGAAACGTCCCTTATTCTCCGCACTAGCAAGAGTGTCACAGCGAGTCAGAAGTGATTGAATTTTGCTTTCTATGCTCCTAAAGCGTGCAGTAAAGGCTGTGTGTCCTACGGCAATTACAAGGTAAGACAATGAGGAGCCACTGTGGGAGCTTGTGTATAATTAGCTTTAAACTAAAGTGGTTGGGACGCAACCTTTTCTTCAGTTTTCTGCGATGTCTTCTTTTGGTTTGTTTTCACTGAAGTCTACATAAAACCTTATGAGAGCTCTGCGGTCGTTTAAGTAAATAAGGACCACGACAACGGTCTGCTGTTTAAGGTCATAGAGGGAAAAAAAAAAAAAAAAAAAGGTCCTATCGCAAGAAAAATGGCTTTGAGGATGCAGCTCTTCAGTGCTACACTTTGACTTAGCGAGGCCATATTTACCCATCTAGTGCTGGAATCTGAACCAGCGACCTTGTCATCACAACCACACTCCCCTTGACTTATGTCTCAACAGTGATCGTCCACTGGCACCCTATATGAAACCAGAAACACTCCCCTCACCACCCTACCCCAACCCCCCCTCCTCCTCTTTGTCTCTTCAGCGGTGGGTCAAACTCACCAAGCTGACTCTGTTTTTCCCAGCATGTGGTTGCCAGGTTGGACAGTTCCCGGTATTTCTCCGCCAGTTGGAGTTTGCCGTTATAAAGGCGGGGTCGTCGGGCGAGGCTCTCCTCGGCCAAGCTCCGATTGGTCGTCTGCAGTGTCTCTCTGTCCACTTGAAGGTCCTGAAACTGAACAGAAGTACAAAGTCAACAAATGCAAGACAAGTCTATCATGCGTGACAGAGCTGTGTAGTTGTGCATATGCTGCTGCTCTGAATTATGTACAGAATATTATGAAATTGTGTAAAACACAAGTGGATTAGGCAGAGATTTTATTTTGAAGTATATATGTTGACTCTTATGGGTGTCAATATGTTTTTATGTAAAATCCATACACTTTTATTCGATAATGTTCTGTTTTCTCATAGGAAATATAGCGTTTTCTTTAATTTTACAAACTGTGTGTGTGTTCACTTAACTTCCTCTTTTCAATCAGGAGTTTCCCTGGAAGATGTGCATCTTCTTTGCTCTGGTTACATTCACTATTTTTGATTTATATTAGAGCTTCAACGATAAATCGATGCACAGAAGATAAATCTGCAAGTATTTTGATGTTGGATCAAACATTTCAGGGTCCAGTTTGTAGGATTTGGCAGCATCCAATGGTGAGTTTGTGAGTGAGAGTACAAAGCATGTAGTAGAACTACAGTGGCCAACGCAAAAACACGAATGGCCCCATCTAAAGCCAGTGTTTGGTTTGTCCGTTCTGGGCTATTGTAGAGCAACATGGCGGACCCTGTGAGAGAAGGCCAAGCCCACAGGACCAGTGCTGGGCTTTAAAGCTAATTTAACGTAGAATTACAACTTCTGAGTCCGTCACGTGATGACACTTGGCCCGAAAAGACTTTTCCCATAGACTTTCGTTGTGAAAAAGACGACTGTAAATCAGTGGAAACATTTCTTTTGGTGTCACAACAATGTCCTGAAAATTATATCTTGATATTTTTCGGCTCGATACACGATATATATCTTGATATCTTTAAATCTCCTAAAAAGCATTTCATTAATGCTAGGACTGGAAAACAAGAACGAACATTACATTTCTGACCAAATATCCCATCTGATGCTACAAAGTTTTATGGATGACTTCTATTGTTGCTGTTGTTGTTTAAGAAAAATATTAACACAATGATATTTTTGATCAATAATCATCAATATTGTGGATAATGACTAAGTGGGTTAGGGCAAGCGTTAAAACAAATAGAAAAGTCTGGTAAGTTGATAAATTTACATCATTTAACTGTATTGCAGCCTTTAAAATGGAGGGGAAAAAACACCATTATCACCATATAATATCACCAATATATATCAAAGATCTAAGACAATATATCTTGTATCTTAATAACAATATAATATCTTCATATTGTCCAGCCCTCATCACAACCCCTGAAAAATGACTAATTTCACTCACACGATAACATTTCTAAAGTCTAGAAGAGACGCACAATCAAACAATTTCATCTCCATTCCAGTTAGCGGAGGGCTAAACCATAAGTTAGCTGCTCGCAAGTATCTAATGCACTCGCCCTAGTGGCCCCACAGTGCGGAAGATACGGGTAATTTCATTGCATGGAAATTTAGCTTTTTGATTTCATGCGTCACTGAACAACTTTGATAGGAATGAAAGGGGCCTGCCTCCAACACTGTATTCAGCTCTTTTTATACATACATGGAGAGGACCTGCTCCGTATGTACATACAATCAGCTCATTTTAAGGTAACAAAAACACAACAATTCTTATTTTCAGGTGACTTTAAACTAGCAACAACATAGCTGTGAATGCAGTATACCAGTGCTGCTAATAGATGCCCAAAAATCCTACACACTGGACCTTCAAGTCATTTTTAAATAAATACTTAGATCAATAATGTTGGGATTTGTTGCTTTGTTATATCTATATTATTGTACATGGAATATCTCTGTATTTGGACTGTTGATTGGACAAAAGAGACATTTTGAGCTCTTGTGCATTGTGATGGACAATTTTTCCACTTTTTTTCTGACATCTTGAAGACTAATTGACTCTGTTCATGGTGTTACAGAGGTGCAGAGGGCATTTATGCAGCAGGGACCCTGTGAATGTTTGTTTCTCTACAATTGCAGGAAAGTTATGTGGGTGCCTTGCAATAAATTGCTGAAAGACGGCCCCAGTGGTTCTTGTTTCCTATACAACAGAGTTAGACTCCAGCTGCATGAACTCATGCGCCCTGAATCACCCCAGAGCGGGGAGGAAATCACGGTTGGACTGAGATAGCGGTTTGAATCACTGTTTGAGGCAGACTACTTTATCTTCTGCTGCTGACAAATGGAGGCTGCACAGGACACTGAATCACCCGAAGGTGAAGTGTACCTGCTGAAGGGAAGAGGGTCAAGCAGTCACATTTTCAAGACAGAACAACCCTGGAGATTACACTGATGTCCTTCCAGTCAGAGGCCTGCTTCTTAAACCATCATCAGCATCAATGGACAAACCAGACTTCTACTTCAGCAGAGCCCAAACAGACAATGATCAGAAGGAGGAAGCTGCGACAACTGCACAAGTTAACACCAGACATCAATCTATAAAGTAGGTCGTTTATTTATGACTTACAAATGGCCATTTTTAGTCGAAATCAAAGCATTTTGGAATGAAACCCTTTGAGCATTTGAGTTGGCTGAGCTTGAAAATTATGCTTTTTGGAAAGCGAGTTTTGAAAGCCAGAGCTGTCAACGCTAAGGCAATGACTCTGACATATCAGTCACAGGAGTCACCTTTCTGCACAACGGGGACTTTTACTGTTGATAGTTTCTCTACATTTTGCTGGTGATACTTCTGGACTATTACTTAAAGCTTTGGTAGAGAGTATAATGTGGTTTCAACAGGCAAAAATCCCATAATATACTTTGAGCATATCGCAGTTTAAGTGGACTGAATGAAAATATTGACAAAGCATTGCAGAGACAGATAGAAAATGTTGCTAATAATTTAGCCTTCTGCTAATCGGAGTGTAAGGTTTACAACTACAGCTTCAAGTTTACGTTTATGTAGCTGCGGTGGCAGTAGTTCAGTTCATAGGGAGCATAGAGTGGTAGCTGGAGAGGTGCCAGCTCGCTTCCTGGGCACTAGGTGTTTGTGCAGGTGTGTGTATTTTCGGGCCTGTGTGTATATGACAACAGAGTGAAAAAAATTAATTTCCCCTAGGGAATGAATAATAAAGTATTAAAAAAGTATATCAAACTTTAACTGGAGACTCAAATCACAGTGTATCCTCTGCTCCACGTTGCTACAGACCACTTCACGAAGAGAAGAGTGGGCAGCAGCTCCGCAGACGGACCCCCAGTCAGCAGCTACAGCAACCCAAGTCCCGCCAGCGCAAACCCCAGCTCCGAGGGACCAGACAGCCCTGACTCCCTGCTGGATCAGCAAACTTTCTGCTGCTGCTGTTACACGTAGATTAGATACAGCACTGCTGCTGGCCATCAGCCTGCTGCGACACCCGGTGCTAGCGGAATTTAAGCCACTTCAGATGTGACTGAGGGTCCATTTCCACTTTCCTCCCAAGGAGGCAGTCTACAGCTGCAGGGCGCAAGGTAAAGGGATGGTGGGGTGGATAGCAGCTAATTCTTGTCTCATTTGTGGTCTGATAAACAGAGAAAGAGGGAGAGCAGGGCAAGGAGGGGCTGAGGGAATGAGCTGCACCCAACTGTACAATGAAACACTATAAAATAAATCAATGCATGTGAGACAATGGGTTACTGTATGAAGCACAGGCTTAGGACTGAGAGGGGAGTGAGGCGAGCTGCAGGAGGAGGGTGTACTTTCAATTTTTTTTCCAGATTTCTGCCTACACTGGCTTAAAGTAGGATCTAAAATACAGGCTTTTACTCATGTCAGTATTTTTACATTGTTATGCTAATACTTTTACTCAAATAAAAGATCTGAGTGCCTCTTCCATCACTATAATACAGGCCTTTACAGTGTGATGTAGCTGCACTGGTGCTTAATAAGTCTAATATATATTTCATAAAAATGTGACATTGGGATTCAAAGGTCACAATACAGGATGTTTATGGCCTCAACGTGCTGCTGGGGAAGAGAGAGATGGTGGTCTGGGTATGCGTAAATGGGGGGAGGGGTCACTGTCACCAGACCATAAGAAAGCTATAAATAATTCAGATGAATGCCACTCCCCTCAAGTCTTGCCAAACAATACTGCCACTGCAGCGCTGTGAAGGAACAGTCAGTGTCTCAAACACTGTCTCAAAGCCACTTTGTGAGCTTCACACTCCAAATATCTGAATCTGTTTGACTATCACATCAAGTCGCAGCATTCCTGCGATTCTGCCCAGCCGGATACTTTTCCTGCTCAATTGCTTTCTTTGAACAGTCAGTCACTTAGAGCCCGAAGGCCATTTCATTGGGTCCAGCGCTGTACGGGGCATCTGTCTCACATTTTACGGGTCATCAAAAGGATGTATGAGTCCCAAGTTTAGAGGAATTTGCAGAATGTGCCCTGCAGTCAAAAGAAGGTCTGTCTGAGAGCAGAGAGAGATACCACAGATCTGATGTTCATTCTGAAAAATGTTCCTGCGAGAATAAAGATAACACAGCTTGTTTCAGATCTACAGCCCAATCATATGTCCTTAAACATGAGTCAAAACGGACGCTCCATTTCCTGCTTTGGCTCGTCCACCCCGTTTATCAAACAACAACTGCTGCAGTCTTTGGGGAGTGAGTGTTTTTTGTGTTTTGATACACAGGCTGTAAAGCCGGGCTGTCACACTGTTTACCGACTCTGACAAATGACACTCGGGGAGCACTTAAGTGTTGGGAGTTCTGGACCGGAGACGGCAAGGAGCAGCCGCACCACTGTTGTTTTCTGCGGTTCAACATGTCTGACCACATGAAATACAGTAAATAGGTGTTACTCTTTTATCTGAAATGAGGCTCAAGCTTAATTAAGCTTCTGCAGTCCAAAGCCATCAATTTAACATTCAGGCTGAGATGAAATTGACCGGGTGCTGAAGTCTTTTCCATGAAAGAGAATTCTTCATGTAACACCAGGCCAAGTAGAAATAAAGGGCCAGCTTGATAAGTCTCTCTTTGCACCATGTGGGATGAGTTTAAAGCAGCTGTAATTCATATATTT